AGGCGGCGCCTTCGGCTCCACTCGCCCAGGACGCGCCAGGTTCGAGTCCCCGTCCCGGGTTTCTCGGCACCGTCACTCGGCCCTCGGCCACAGCGGCCCTCGAGCGAGCCACGCCGTGTTTAACCCTTATTCGTGAAACGAGATTACAAATGTTGTTTATTCGTAAGACGAATAGTCACCGTAACATTCAATCAGGTGGTCACTCAACACCACACCACTCAAAGCCACACTACTCAACAGCACACCACTCACTACCATACCACTCACCACCATACCACTCAAAACTACCCCACTCAACAGCACACCACTCAACACCACGCTTATTCAGACCACAACATTCAACACCAAACCACGCCGGATGGAGCGTCTACCTGTATTGTGATAGCGTGCATATGGGTGTGAGAGTGAGTGTGTGAGGCAGTGAGAGAGAGAGAGAGAGTGTGAGGTAGTGAGAGACTGTGTGAGGCAGCGAGAGAGAAAGAGAGAGAATTAGTGAGAGAGAGTGTGAGGCAGTTAGAGAATGAGTGAGAGAGTGTGTACGTGTGTGAGCCCCACTTACCCTCTCCGGATTCTGAAACGTGAGTCGCGAGCAGGAGAGGGGAAGGAGAGACGAGAGCGAGGCAAGGGGACCCGACGCACATCACAAACAAAACACACGCGACTACGGTCCACAACACGCCACCACCACCACCACGATACATCACCACGATCCACCACCACTACCACAATCACCACCAGTCCGAGCTGACAAAATATCGCGCACGTTTAAGGGGAGGAGGGGGGGGACACACGGTGTTTCCACCCGGGCGCGTGCTGCTTATACACGGCTGGGCAGTTACGCAGCTGAGCTCCATAGCAACCACGCACCTGGGTACCACAGCGACCTCATACCATGGCAACCGTGCACCTGCGCATCTGAGGCACCACGCCGAGACTCGTGGAGCCGGGGAGGGGGGGGGGTAGAGGGGGAGGGCGATGCCCTGGTGTGGCTCGATGAGAGCCAGGCGCGTCCATTGTGAATCCGAAGCGCGCGGCCGCGGGACGAGGTCCGCTGCCCCTGTGTCCCTAAAAATAGCGCGCGGCGCCCGTGGAGGGCAGCGTGGGGGAGGCCGGGGAGGCGGTGAAGGAGGGGAGGCGTGGACCCCGTCTCTGATTCATCAGACGCGCCACTCGCCCAGCGTGTGTCCGTGTGCGCGTGTCTCTGTCTGCGTGTATGCGCCCGTGTGTTTTTTCTATGTGTGTGGGTGAGCACGTGTGTGCGTGTGTCCCTGTGTGGGTAGCGGTGGTGTAGGGGTTTGCGCACTGCGCTATGAACTGGGCGACCCGAGTTCGAATCCCGCTCACGGTCAAAACCAGTGACGCTTATTTACGCCAGTCCTGGGCTTCCCCTAGGTCGAATCAGCCTCAAATGAGTACATGGTGCAGTGTGTACCCATCGCCACTAAGGAGACAAAGTGTTACTCGCGACCAGCACTTGCCCCAACAGCATGTTAAGGCACGTGGAGAGATTGCGAGAGGAGCTGGTGGCACAAATTGACAGTCGACCTTCGAACCCGGGGCTCTGACCCCCCGGTGGATGGATGATGCTACCGCTGCTGCTGCTGCGTCGTGTGTATAAATAAATGCATCACGACAACTGGGGTCTGCGACCCCGCCTGCGGGAGTCCGTGACGCAGATTAAGTGCGAGTGTGTTTGTGTGTCTGTGTTACCGAGGGGAGCGATAGTGGTTAGTGCCCTGCGCGAGTTCTATCATATTGGTGAATATCTAAGCCAGTGCTAGACCTCCCCTAGGTCGAGTCAGCCTTAAACGTGGGTGGGTATGATTCTGGTCTCGCTAACATCACTTGCACCAACAGCCCGTATGGGCTACGCGGGGAATCTTTGAATAGTATATACTGTAGGTGTATACTGTAGGTGTATACTGTAGGTGTATACTGTCCCCAGAGCACGCGCCGTCGCCCATCTCCAAGTCAGAGGGAACGTGCGCGGAATTCCGCTTAAAATAGCGGCCAGGGCTCACGAGTGCGCGCGTGTGTGAGTGTGCGGGGGGACGGTGGCGCAGTGGTTAGAGCTGCAAAATCGGTGATAAGATGTCGATTCCAGCTCGTGACCAATATCGGTAGCTAATATCTGAGCTGCTCCTGGCCCTCCTCTAGGTCGACTCAGCCTTAAAATAATACCTTGTGTTGTGTAAACATCAGCACATGGGAGAGAAAGACGGCCGGGCGTAGTGCTGCCCAACTATTACGGTTTCACCGGCCGCTGAAACACTTGCCCAAAATATTTTTTTCAAAGCTACACGAGGTATTGTTACATTTGCCTTTTGTGTGTGTGTGTACGAGGGTGAGTGTGCAAATGTGTGAATGAGTGCGCTGTGCGTATGAATGAATGGGTGAACGAATGTCAATGAGTATAGACGAGCATGTACACAATGTGCGCGCGCGCTTAAGCATGGGCAGTATGAGTGTGCGTGTGTGTGATTGTGGGGAGCAGCAGCGTTGTGGCTCGCAAACTGCGCCGAAAGCCCAGTGCCACAAGTTCCCTTCTTGACCACGGCTACCATCAGTGGTGATTATCTGAATCGACCCTAGGCATCTCCTAGTACCTACTGCTGTGTATAAACATCAGCAACGGGGAGACAAAGGCGGCTAGGTATGGCGCGAGCCACACCACCCCTCGTGTGCAATTCCGGCCTTTATAGGTGCTCGCTAACAGCACTTTCCCCAAAAGTCGTTCAAAGGCTTTACGGGGGATCTTTGTTTTTGTTGTCGTAATTATGGAAGACGGCGTTTTGGAAGACCTAGGTTGCGATGTCATTCTCGGCCGGGTGCCCGATTTCCCTCGCAGCGGTGGTCGCGGGGTTCCCACTCTCCAACGCGCTCCTCTACCCGTCCCTCGCTTTTTAAGGGGGGGTGGAGGCGGGGGGTAGAGGCGGCACATTTGATGTGGAGAGACCCCGCCTCACCTGGACCCTCGAGCCCCGGGCCAGCGTACCCAATTTACCGATCGTCGCGTCCGCAGAGCACCGCGCACACGCACACACATACACGCACACACACGCGCACACACACGCACACACACACGCGCGCACACACACGCACAGACACATGCTCGTGCCATGGCTACACCCCGCCGCCGAAAAACGCGCCACATGCACCCCACAGTCGCGCCGCCCACGGTGGACCACGGCCCCCGACGGGGACCTGGGATCCCCCGTGATACTATCAAGGGTGACAAGCGGCTCCCATCATCGTCATTGTCAGCGTGCGCACGCGTAAATTGCGCGCGTGCCTCCGATAATTGCAGCAGCCACACGACTTATCATAGCGACCACAACGGGCATTCAGAACGGCATCAAGTACCCAGCAACCGCAGCGGGTTAATCAGCAACCGCACGTGCCTTTATTAACTTCTCCAAGCTCCGGCAACGGCGCTTGGATGCGGTAAACCACACCGAGCATGCATGGGCACCCGAATTTCCAGCGACTACACAGGGTTGAGGAAACTTCGCCGGGTTCCGGCAACCACATTCCAAGTTTCCAGCAACCACACTGGGGCTCCGGCACCTCGGCTCACCACGACGGAGTGGCTGAGGGCTGACACCGAGAGACGCGTGTGCGCACCCACCACTCACCCGCACGGGGATGAGAAGGCAGAGGAGCACCGCCGCCGACACGACAACCGCCACGCGCGTCGCTCCGCTACCGCCGAGGGACGTCATCCCCTCCGCGCGGGGTCCGGGGAGGGGTCCCGTGAGGTCCCGAGGAGTTGATCCCGCGGGCACAGAGGACGCCGCGAGGGGAGCGGGAGGAGCAGGACTTCGCCAACGTTGCCGGAGCGAGCAACGAACGTTGCTGGAGGAGCAGGGACTTTCCGCCAGATTTGTTCAAAGAATGAGCAATTGCTGGGTCAACTAAAGTTGCTGGAGTTGATAAGAGTTGCTGGAGTTGATAAGAGTTGCTGAAGAAGCGGCAGAAATTTTGGATGGAGCAAAAAATGTTTTTTTAACTGGAGCAGCCAAAGTATTGAGAGGAGCCGGAGAAAAAATACTCTCACTGGAGTTTCTGGATCACTCAAATTATCTGGAGCAAGCGGACTTGACGGGGGCTTCTGCTGGCGTCCCCGTGCTCCCACCGCAGGCTCCTCGTGTGCACGAGCCCCCGGCACTCGGGGGGCCCCTTTATAAGGACGCGGGGTTCGCGAGGCGAGCCCTCAACTCAATATCGAACCCTCGCCCACTCGAACTCCCATTGGTTGACACACCGTCTGCACGACGCCCACACCCCCTCGTACCACGCCCACGCCCAAATGCGATTGGTCAGCCCCGCCCCATCCCCCCCCCGCAAAGGAGGCGTGGCTGGTAACAAACACGTGGTTTGTGGCACGCGGGAGGGGCCTCGTGTCAAACGCGCACACATGGGAGTTTAAATGCCACTTTGTGAAACGTAAACAATAGTTGTTTTTATGGATGTGGACCGACCGCGGCCATGCTAATGCGGAATTCCCACCGCTAAACTCAGGGCTGCTCACGCCGATTTGCAACGACCCGCACGCTCTTGGGGGCAGCGCGACACTTTTGAGGTGACCTTTGAGCGAAAATTGGAGCTGGAGTTTGGGGTATTGCCGAGAAGAAATGAATGTAAATATATACACAACAACCGTCTCCCCCGAGTTCAATTCGCGTCGCTCATTCTCACCCTCCATCGCTCTCTCCCTCACTCATTCTCCCTCTTCCTCATTCACTCAGTCTCACTCTCTCTTCCTCCCTCCAACACCTTCTCATTATATCATCGGACACTCACTCTCCCGTCTCGCACTTTTTCATGATCGCTCACGCACTCTCTCCTTCACTCATTGTCCCTCAAGCATTTCTAACACTGATTCTCTCTCTCTCTCCCACTCACACACACTCTTCTGCACTCGCTCGCTCTGTCCACTTAAACTCAGCGACGTTTCGATCAATGGCCTTTCTCCAAAGCAAATAGTCGGAGCGGTCGTGTATCTTAATACAACCAAGTGTGTCAACATAACCACACCATTTATTCATTACTATCACAGATACCAGCATCGTTACTATCATCATAAACAACAACTTTATCGACACCGTCATTGCCACCATCTTTATGATCACTGGCACCTTCACCACACTCATCATAACTGACATCAACATAAATCATATTCATCTTTGTCAACATCAGAACCACCATCATATTGATCATCATCATGAGGCTTAGTACCGTGTCGCCATCTACACAAATTAAACGTCCTAAGTTTGCTGTCCTTCCTCCGCACCTCTGATTAGCACGGTTGGCTACGCACGGTGCGAAAGAAGTTCAATATACAATCTGTACATCGATGATGGCGATCTATACCATCAACTATACCATCAACACCTTCACCATCGCCCTCCAGACTCGCTCAATGCGCATCGCTCCACGAGCCCTGCCCACTCGCGACGCCAACAGCGCGGTAGCGGCCGTCGTGGGGACAGCGGCCATCGTGGGGCCAAAACGTAGAATATGCACCAACGATTGTGAGACGAGGGGCAACAGAGCGAGTACCCATCGCTAAGTGAGGGGCTCAGAAGTCGCCTCTGCAACTTGAAGCATCACTCACCGGGCTCCCTCACCACTCACTCCCCCCCTTCCCCCCCAGCGAGCGCTGTGCGGGGAGTGTATCCCCTACTCAGGCTGCGTGTGTACGGCTCCTGCTCCGAGCACTGCCAGTGCCACTGCGATACCAACTGGGGAGGCTTCCTCTATGACAAAGGTGGGAGCAACTCTGGGGAAACTCGGGGTAACTCTGGGGCAACTCTGGGGCAACTCTGCGGCATCTCGGGGCAACTCTGGGGTAACTCGGGGAAACTCGGGCAATCTGGGGGAAGTTCAGGGAAAACTTGGAGGGCAACTTGAGCAACATGACTGGAATATAATATATTTATTGTAAAGGACACGAACATCGCTATTGGGTTAAAGTTGGGGCCACGGCTGGGGCAGGCCCGGGACTGGTGTTGGGCAGGCTCGGAGCCACGTTGCTCAGGAACCACAAGAGGCCGTAGAGGACGCCCAGGGGCCGCTCTATGTCCGCGGCATCCATGAACTGAGCGGCGTGCTCCAGCGGGAGCTCCATGAGTTCGATGAGCTCCCCCTCGTCGGACCGGCCCCCGCCAGGCCCCGTGTGCATTGCGTCGGTCACGGCTGCGTAGTACAGGGTTTGCCTTGCCCCGGACACCCCCACGCCTGTCCTGTATGGGGCAAGGGGTGGTGGGGGGGGGCACACGGGGGGCACACGATGGGTGTGTATGGGTTACATTGTGAGCACATGGGGGTCACGTTGGGGGACACACAGGGATCACCCGTGATTCTCGCTGGCTGAGGCTCGGAGGTCTAAGTTTGCCCCGGGTTGGGATCTCTGTGCATCCTGCCCCTGACCTCCTCTACTCCTTGCCACCCGTGTTGGCAAATCCTGAGTCCCTCTGCTGCGCCGTGCGGTCACGGCGCGCTGACCTCTAGCCCCCTGCCCGTGCGCCTTCACCTGCAGGGTGCTCAGATACAGTCGCACAGCCACATCTGGCAAGAGAAGCAGAACCGGGACCAGAAAGCGCCGGTACGGGCGGCGAGCGCCACGCACCTGTAGGAGGTGACACAGTGGAGCTCCTCGAGCGGCACATCATAGCCACACTCCTCCATAAGCTCGAGGCGTGCGGTCTCCGCCGCCGAGACCCCCGGGTGGTCCAGGATGCCCGCGCACAGCTCGCATGTCACCCCCGCCGAGCCGGGCAAGGCCGGGCCCCCCTCATCGCCAACGCCCTCCCCTCTGGCCCCCCGCAGCACCCGAGTCCCCGCTGCCTCGGTCGCCTCCACGAGTCGCTGCTTCCGCCTCCACTCGCGCTCGTTCACGTAGACAGCTGCGGACAGACAATTGCCGTGAAACGCACTCTCACCATGACACAGGTCCCACAGGGCACTGTGACACAGGTCCCACAGGGCACCGTGGTACAGGTCCCACAGGGCACCGTGGTACAGGTCCCACAGGGCACCGTGGTACAGGTCCCACAGGGCACCGTGGTACAGGTCCCACAGGGCACCGTGGTACAGGTCCCACAGGGCACCGTGGTACAGGTCCCACAGGACACCGTAGTACAGGTCCCACAGGACACCGTAGTACAGGTCCCACAGGGCACCGTGGTACAGGTCCCACAAGGCACCGTGGCACAGGTCCCACAGGGCACCGTGGTACAGGTCCCACAGGGCACCGTGGTACAGGTCCCACAGGGCACCATCACGGCTCCCACTGGCTCTGTTTGGTGCTCTTTCAGATGCTGTCGCGTTCAACTGTATACTGTAAGAGGAGGGTTATCTTGCAGAGCCACGTGCAGAGACATAGCTTCCATTACTGTTCAACACTTCAGTTTCTGTTCAGAACCCAGTTGTCTGTTTGGTAACTCCAATACCCATTTGCGACATCACCCGCAAATTCCTTAATTGGGCAAAACCACAAAGTGACATTCTCGGGCAGGAGATGCATACACACCCTGTACCACGTGGAGACGGCTGCCACTGGAGGTCCACTGGGCTAGACCTCTGCAAGGCTACAACGGTTGAAGGTGCAATGCCGATTTAAGGCGCTTTGAGTTGCTGATGAATTTAAGCAAGCGCCACTGTAAATTCCAAATCCCCATACCTGCTCAGAACGCTAGCACCTGTGTAGAAGCCTAGCACTATGTGTGGAACGCAGGGAGAGAGAGAGAGTTGTCGGTGCTGGGAGCCGCAGCGCGCCTACCTGGCCGGAACTGCTTGACGAAGACAAAGCAGCGGCGTGTGGTGTTGAAGAGGAGGATGGCGACGCTGGGGGAACACAGACACACGGACCCCGGGGTGAACTCATACGGGACCGCTCCCCTCGAATGCAGCCCTGACACCAAAACGAACCCAGGCCTGGCACTTGCACTGGAACAGGGGAAGGGAGTCGACAGCACGGATGGCTGGGGGAAGCGAGCTAAAAGCCTTGGGGGCAGCAGAGGAGAATGAGCGTTCAAACTAACACTGACCCCTGAGTCTTAACCCTGCCTTGACGTGGCCTCCAACCCCAAACCTGGAGCTCACTGCTCAGGAGTTGCCTCTGCACGCACACGGGACTCGTTGCTGCTGTGTGTGAGCCCAATTGAGTTATTTGCAGGTAAAATTGTTTATGCATTGGGAGATTTTGGCCGATGCCGGTTACACTGTGTGGATTTTTTCGCGTCAATTAAGCTGAGGGTGAGGAGTGAGTGGGGGTAAGGAGTGGGGGTGAGGAGTGAGTGGAGGTGAGGAAGCAGTGAGGGTGAGGAGTGGGGGTAAAGAGTAGGGGTGAAGAGTGAGTGTGCGTATTGGTTTGGCAGGGGGCTCTCTCTGTCGTGGACCGCTGGCCTCACCTGTCATGAGTTTCCATGAAGTCCCACGTCTTCCTCACCCCGTTCTGTGGGAAAACCAGAACCATCGCATAGACGGAGGTGGTAGATATGAAGTCAGTACAGCAAGTAGGTTACCAGACAGCAATCCATCCCAGAGGCACATTGACCATCCACTCAGCTCATCATGAAACGTTAAACTCTCAGCTGACAGTCGACTCAGCTCTGCATAATAATTTTGTTCCTACATGTTTTGACTTGATTGTAAGAGAGGGGCTGTGCCGTCAGCAAGGGGGGGGGGCACGGCCCCCCTCCATCCACTTCCACCCGAGACGGTCCGGGCCTGCCACTGCCCCCACTGTTTGCTGGACCCTTACACCGCGCCTGCTCCCCATCATAGACCACGTGTCACATCACAGTGTGGAGAGTGAGTTTAAGTTGATTTCGTTGACCTTGGTGAGAACTCGAGAGAGACTCAAGGTAGGGGTGCCTCGGTAGCGAGATGTTAATTACCTCGCCTGGTATACAGGTTGTGGGTTCGATTCCGACCCTGATACCTGTATATTTGGAGCTTGCATGTTCTGTCCCCGTGGTCACGTGTATTTTTCTCCGTGTCCTCTTGTTTTTCCCTCCACATTTAAAATCTGGCTGCTATACATTTCCACGTGATACGCCACTTTGTTGAGCTATAATTTGTGGCTAGGTGGCTTTAAAAAAGATCTGAATAGCTCCGTGGGCCTTACCTGACAAACTAACAAAAAGTTATCGTTTTTTTTATACAGTCGCATTTGCGAGCACCAGTCTGCCACAAGGGGAGCGTGACTGCTGCTGCTGCGTGTATTCCCTTTTGAGTAATTTGCCGTGCAATTTTTCAAATTGGGTCAATTTGTACTCTGGCACAATGGCCTCCTCTTGCGAACGACGCCAGGGGGTCCTTCACTTTGAGTGAAGCAGAGGCGGTCGCGTGGGTTCGCGGCTGGCACCACCCGGCGGCATTGATTGACCACGCCGATGGGCATGGCGAGTGGCGGCGTGCCGTGTGCGGAGGCGCGACACCGTGACGGCGCCCGACCCATGGCTTCACAACTCTCACGGCGTAGTCTCATTGTCCGCTGCTCGGCCGGAGTGAGGTGGCACGCGGCTACGGTCACCACAGCCAAAAGCGAGAGGCGTCCTGGTCGTGGTCGGGCCCGGCCGGCGATAAGCCTCTGGGCGGCTACCTGCGTGTAGGAGATGCGATGGGGTCGAAGGTATCGCGAGGCGGCGCACGGCTCCACCGACACCCCGCTCACGTCGTCCATCTCCCCGGCTCCCTCCGACTCCGCCTGGGTCCCACAAGGGAACCACCCGGCTCCTCGACGCCGTTTGTCTTCCGGGAGGAAGTGAAACCGGGGAGCGCTGGGGTCGAGTTTCGGATTCCGGCGCGGAGGGCGCAGAGCGCAGAGGGCTGTGCGCCGCCCACCGTGGTCGGGACGGGGACTATTTTGGAAGGCCTCCCCCGAGTCTCAAGGCTCTTTTTCAGGAGGGTCCTGGCCATGTATTCGCAGTATGGAGTTGACTCGTGGTAATTAAAGGAACTTCGAAGCTGCGTGCTCGGGGGAGTCGAAGCCGTTCCCCGTTCACCGTGGGGTGCGACGGGGACGTCCTCTGGTCTCTCCACTGTCCAGTATAACATTACGTGACCGTATACAGGAGTGTGAAAATATTGGCATGGCTGTACCAGAAGGGGGTTTACGTCAGGCACAGATTACACTGGTGAGGTCCAAGGATGGTGTCACAGGCGTGGTCTTGTGGAGGCGTATTCAGTACGGTGTGCGTTGCGGGGCAATTATTTGTGTGGAACCTGGTGGCATGGTGTGGGCTTGGTGTGTGAAGTGGGGGCTGTGGAGTATGGTGAAGTGTAATAAATGCGGTGGTGTGGTCTTGTGTGCGGTGGATGCTGAGTGCGATGTGTGGAGGGGTGTGTGGTGGTCTGGCGAGATGTGTGGCAATGCGAGTCACAACGTTTTCTTAATTCTCTCTTGGGCTCCGGGATAGCAGCACCCCCCCCCCACACCGCGCCGCGTTTTGTCTCACAAATTGGGGTGAGGGGTCGAGGCTCGGTGAGTGACTCCGCGTCCCGCATTCAACAAGGCCCCGCAGGTTCATTACGGCGCGCGGCACAAGCGGCCCAGATGGCCTCCTCGGGCTCCGCCAGCGCCCGCAAAAGAGAACTTTTGTCGACAAAGTTTCACTCCCCCCTCCCCACCGCCCCCCGTCCATCCAAGAGACACACCACGCCTTTGTGTCGAACTCGCGGCACGGTGGCTGAGCCGCTGTCCGAGGCGGGACGCGCGGCCTTTTCATCCGCACGGCGATTGAGCGCCGGAGTTGTGAATCGACTTCTTTATGAGCCAGGGGTCTTTTGTGATGGCACAATTAATTAAGCCACTTCTAAACGCCCACCGCCCCCGTCCCGTCTCCCTGCCCTGCCTCTGCCCCCCCCCCTCCACGCGTTTACCCCCCCCTCCCCACTCCATCTTTCACCACGGGCATTCAGCGTGACCCGCTCCAGCGCATTGCAATGAATGTGAAGCTCATGAAATCCACGTTGCAAGGTTAGGCTGTGGTGGCTGCCGTCGTTGCTGTTGTCACTTTGGTTCATGGGATGATCGAGGTAATTATGTCGCACAAGCCGCGTGCTATCCACTGCTGGACGAAAGCCTCCCCGAACCGGTGACATCCCCCATAGTCTTGCGACGCCGCAAACAATCTCGCTCCGACGCACGAACTCGGCTCGTCGCTCCGTCTCCGCGGTAGAACGCACCCCCTCCCCCCTCCGCGAGTGTGCTCCTTCCTTTGGCTGCCATTCCCTCGACAGTCTGGGCCGTCCGCTATCATCCATTCTTACTAACAGCCAGCGCGGTGCCTACAGCACGTTTTGTCTTTTCCCTGTGTTCCCCTTCCTGTCTCTGAGAGTAACTCCGTAACGACCCTTCCCTGCTTCTTTGCGCACTTTTCAGCCGTTATTCCACTTCGTCATCGTCCACGTTCTATGAGTCAAAGGCAGCAGCAGTACCATCAGCGTCAACATCAGTAAGGCGATGGATTGAATCCATCTGTGCAGAGCTTTCAGCGGGTTTACCCTCGTATGCGTTCACTCCCTAAGGAAAATCGGGCAAATCGCCTGCAACGTCTGAGACTGTTCAGGGTTACTCCAGAAGGCACGCGGACCCCACTGATACCCCAGGCGGTCGTCATGCACATTGCAGGAACACTCAACAAGTACCGCCTTAACGTTTGAGTTGTCCCTCGGTTGCCGGGCCACGGGACGGCAGTACAGCAAATGGGTCCGTGAGCCGTCTGTACAGTTTAAGTGTTATCCACTCGTCTTCAACCCAGCGCTGGGTTTTCTTCGGGTCGTATGGATTCCCCCTCCCACACGAAGCCAAACTTCCATTAGCAATTAAGTTCATGGCCAAACATCCCAAAGTAGTATAGCAGGACCTTCCTGCAAAAATATTATTGAAATTCCCTGAGAATTAATTGTATTAAATTCATTATTGTGATCAGCATCAGCAGAAGCGTCATCAGCAACAATCATGAGCATCAAGATCAGTAACAACATCATCCGCATCATCAAGAGCAGCACTATTAAAAAAATAATAAAAATCAACAGCAGTCAATATTGCCATCGAAACATCTTCATCAGCAGACGAACCGTCGTCATCAAAAGCCTCGCCATCAGCAACAACAGCGGCATTGTGAACAGCAGCGGCATTATCAATATCAGCAACAGCAGTGGTGGTGGGGGGGCGGTGTGCAGCCCCGGGCAGCTGCTCTTTTCGCCGCCACGCCCGCCCGCCTTTGTCTTCCTCTAAGCGGGGCCCGCTTCACTGCTGCTCAAAAGCATTGAAAGCAGCGGCACTAAATGCATGGCCCCGCCCTCTCCGCTGTTCAATGAGGCTTGAGGTAGGGGGGGGGGGCAGTGGATGGGGTGTGTGGGGCAGGAGCTGCCATTGAAACCCTCATCCATGCCCTTCATCGCATCTCGACTCGACCACTGCAACTCTCTCCTCTCCGGCCTCCCCACATCCCTTACACCTCCAAACTCCAGATGACCCAAATTGTCACTGCCGGACTAAGTCCGGCAATGCAGCCAGCTATGGCTCTAGGATTTGGTGTTACATGTTATTTATGTAGTTTATTGTAAAAATTCGGTCACAATCCGTATGATCACTTTTACGTTGCAATTATGGCTTTATTTTTTGGTGATTTCGAAAACTTTTTTGGTTTGGACATGTTTGTTTTGTTGTAGTGCGGAGTTAGACTGATTGCCTTGATCTAAATTTTCTTGTGGTTGTTGTTGTTGTTTGACTTGCATCCCACTGGGATTTTTTGCGCACAGCGTTGGTGTACGGTGCTTTTTTCAGGAATATTTTGCTGTTTTTTTTCATGGATTTTCTGTTTGCACAGTCACATAGTCACTTCAAGATATTTTTCATGTTCGTGTTTTTGTTTTTTTGTTTGTTGTGGTTGCACCCGATTCAAGAGCCGAATGGCTCACAGGGCTATACCAAAATAAATAAACTGAAACTGAGTCCGAGTACTCGGATCCCTGCCCTGGCTCCCAATGCACGTTCGTGTGCGCCCCGCCCTACGCGAGCCCGCAGCCTCCTCGGTGCGGTGGAGGTCACTCTTCCACCTCAACATCTTGGAGAAGGAGGACTTCCGAAAGAGGTGACTGAGACCGAACTCCAGAAAATCGATTGTCCGAGGCCGCGCCACCTTGGCGTGACGCTTGACGAGTCGTCGTGGCTTTCAACGAACGCCTTTGACCATCGACCCTGAGTTCTGCACCTCAGTGTTGTCCAAAAGCGGCCGCTGTGGGCTGTGCTCGCAGACACCCGGACCATCACGGGAGCGATAACATCGACAGCCCAGCCTTGGCTTTCTGCGCCGTCAAACATGGCACCGCTGCATGTTCTTCCGCGATGCCGCGACACGCGGTTGTGAGTGTTCGTGCCGTGCGCTCATTAGCCTGGTGACCCCGCGAGTCACAAGAGCGCTCACCCGTGCACACACACAACCCCGACGCGTACACTCACATTAGTTTATGAAGCAAAAACACACCGGCAGTGTTACGAACGCCATCATCTCTCGCACCCTCCCGCTCTGCGGTCCCTGGGGGGGGCGGGGGGGGGCGGGGGGGGCCCGCCCCTCCCCCTTCCCCCCTGCAGAATGCCCCCATCCGCGAATGACCGCGTGCGCTGAAAGACGCGGTTTGATACAGTTCCTTAAGCTCCATTAATCTCCATTCATCTCACTTTCATTTGATTTTATTTCTCTTTAGCTACCGCTGATCCCTGCCCGCCCCCCCAGGGAGTTAATCCCAAGGGACAGGTGCCAGCGCAGGAGCCAATGTCAAACTGCGTCGATTGTGAAGCGAGTGGCTGTGGGGGGGGGGGGGGGGGGGTGGACAATGGTCATGGGGGTGGACAATGGCAGTGGAGGGAGCGAAGGCGCGGGAGCTTCGAGGGCAGCAGATGGGAGACGGGCGGGTGGAGGTGGGGCGGGGAGGGAGGGAGGGAGGGAGGCGAGGCAACTTCTGTTACCCACGAGACGGCACGAGTCTTCACTTGAGAAGGTGCGAGAAGGGTGATGGACGATGGGGTGGTGGAGGTTGATGGAGGGTGGGTGATGGCGATGGAGAGGATACAAATAACGGTGGAGGGTGGATGTCAGTGTTGGAATATGTCAAGCGGGTAGATTGAGAGTGGTGGAGAGTGCTTGATAATCGCAGTTCACTCAATACTTGACACTCGGAGAGACCGGGTCTCATGATATTGAGACTCGGGGAGACTGGGTCTCAGGGTCTTTAGATGCAGGGAAACCAGGTCTCAAGGCCTTGAGATCCACAAACTCCCGGCGTCAGAGTCTTGAGACCTAGGGATACTAGGTTTCAAGAGTCTTGAGACTCGGGGATATCTTGAGACTCGGTCTTGAGACTCAGGACCTTGAGACCTGGGGATCATGGGTGTAAGAGTCTTCAGACTCAATGTTGTGAGACTCGAGGAGAATGGGTCTCGGGCTCTTGAGGCTACGGACGGTGTCTGCTTGGTTGTTGTGGAACACGGAGCCCGTGCTGGGAATGGGCGCTCTGCCGTGGGGTGCACTCAGCGCATTGTGGGGAAGTGGACGATAATTATATGAGTAGACTCGTCCCCGATAAAGGAATGTATCATTTCCACCACTGGCTCAAGGGTGTAAACAGATAATCACCGCCGAAATGTTAATTTGAGGAGGAAATCACTTCCATTTATAATGGAGGGTGTACGTATATGTGTTGAGCTTCTTTCGCGCTGTTCGTCCGAAACCATGGCAATCGGAGGTGCGGGGGAAGGACAACAAAGTAAACACAAAAAGCAGTTCTAAAGAGATGAGTTTCCAATCTAGATTTACAAGTGCACAGTTCCAGTGGCTTCCTAATATCGGAAGAAAGAGCGTTTCAGACGGCCGCAGAAGCGCATCTGAAAGCGCCCGATGCAGTGGCCAGAGTGGATGAGGATGATGGAGGGTGAATGAGGATGATGGAGGGAGATGATGGGTGGATGATGATGGAGATTAGATAAGGATGATGGAGGTTGGATGAGGATAGTGGGAGATGACGAGGTATGATGGAAGGTGAATGAGGATGATGATGGGGGATTTTGGGTGCGTGAGGATGCGGATGATGGAGGTCGCGTGCGCCCTCGCGCCGCGCGCACAATCGCGCATTGTGATGGGGCCACTGATGCTATTCAAAGCGCGGACACATGGGGATACCCCCCACCACCACCCCCTTCTGCCCCCCTCCCCCTCGTCACGCCTTCACAGGAGAAAGCGGCGCCGCGCCTGGCACCCGCATTGTGGCCATCTGCCGCTAATTGGATAATTGGATAAGTGAGTGTGAAACGATCGCCGTGAATGGAGACGCGCGGGTCCATGGCTTCACGGCCATGAATGCAGTGCGCTTCATTATCCCCTTCATTACAAGGGGGTCCGGGAGGCACCCCCTTTGTGCCCGCGAGGGGCTTTACATTCGTAATGGAGATTAAATGGCCCTTGAATGGTCCCTAGCGGCATTGTGCGCGTGAATTGATGATGTATACATTCGCTCACACACAGAGACGCGCGCACACAAACGCACGCACAAAGCGCACGAATCCTGAGATTAG